CAGCCGCCAGCATGCCGCACGCCTTCAAGCCCGGGGACTTGGTGTTCGCCAAAATGAAGGGCTACCCGCACTGGCCGGCCCGGGTGAGGCCGCTGGGGAGATGGGCGAAGGTGGGGGTGGGGGGTGGGGCTCTGGGGGCCCCAGACTCAGGGGCTCACGCACTTGGAGTCTGGGGGATACCGGATCTGTAGGACCTACACGCCCGAGGAGACTTGGGCTTGGGGGGCCCCCGCACGCTGGAGCCTTGAGAGGACTCGGGTCTGAGGGATCCGCGCGCCAGGGGTTTGGGGTGCCTGGCCTGAGGGATTTGCGCGGGTAGGGAGAGCTAGGGGTGCCAGGCCTGAGGGACCCGAGCGACGGGGGTCTGGGGGTCCCTCTGTGCGGCCCGCGCACCAGAGGTTTTGGGCACCCCGCCCTGAAGGAGCTGCTCAGGGTCAGAGTGAAGTGATGCTAAGTGTGCAGGAGCTGTGACCTGAGGGGACAGGGTTGGGGGGGGGAAGAGGTGAGGTAAGCAGAGAAAAGAGGGGTTTGAAGCGGGGTTGAATTTATTGGAAGAGGGAAGTGCTCAAGACTGGAGGACCTTCTTTGTGGGGCCACAGAAGCCAAGTTCTGGTGGGTGCTGAGAGCCACGTGTGAGAGGAGCAAAGGATGAGGGATGCACTAAGGGAGAAGCTGCTTGACTATCAAGACTGAGGGCGTAAGGGAGTACCGGAACTGGACATTGGGGCTGTGGGCTTTGTGCACAAGGTTACTAGAGCTGACAGGTCTGAATATGAAAGTGAGAGGTCTGAGGGACCAGACATGTAAATCAGATTTGTTTGAGGCACCCTGATCCCCTGTGGAGACCCACCCCCTCCATGTCCCCAGACTGGGGTGGAGGATTGTCCTCTCTGATGCTTGAATCAGATCAGCCCCCTCACAGGGGCTCAAGGCTGAGAGAGCATCTAAGGGAAGGCGGCTGGCCCAGGACACCTTGGAGTTTCTTTGGGGGAAGTTGGAATCCAGACAACTCAAGTGGTCTGGGATGGGGGGGCCCCTTGAGCCTGAGAGTTGCAGATCTGCAAAGTGGAGTTCAAGCACTGTGAGAGCAGCCAGCAAAGAGGAGGGACGTGGGGTTATTGTCACCCCAAGATCTTAGGAATTCAAATGCTCCCCCAAACCCTCAGGTCTGAGGTTGGTGGAATATGCCTGATACAACTGAAGGAATTTGGTGGGTGGGGATGGGAATGGCAGCCCTGGCTATCAGCCCGGTGAGGTGGGCAGGGCAGGTGACCTGGGCAGCCCTGTGGTATGGTTGGAGATTCCAGCCTTGCTCCCTGCCTGTTGGGCCGAAGTAGCCAGAAAGACATCACACAGAACTCGGTTTGGATGCCAAGGGGCCTCTGGGATCTCTGACTGGGCAACCGCAGGGTTAGAGGTGGTGCTGGTGCTACCCTGAGGATGTCTGGGCTTCAGGATGAGAGGGAGATCCTCGGCGAGACAGGGGCAGAGGCAGGGTTTAGAGGCATCCCAGGTTGGTCCTCACCTTGATGGCGTTGGGGGATGCTTCTGTGCAGGAACGGGATGCTTGGGGTGAATGCCAGAGGCCCACGGTGCGGTCCGGGGTCAAAGACTTTGAAGACCAGCCCTGAGGAAATGGAGGCAGAAAGTCAGGAGCAAGCATTGAAGAGGAAGGGGAGGAATCAATAAGAACTGTAGAGCCCACTCCAGTCTTCTTTGCTTGCATTTAAATTCTTGGGGTACACAGCGCAATGAAACTTTACTGGTACTTTTCTTCTTTCTTGAGTACCAGCTTCTCCCTGTTCGCTGAACCTCCTCCCTTCAGCCAGCTCTCTAAGCCCCTAACATTTCCAAGCACCTGATTGGAAGTATAGGGGCTGCTTGCCTCCCGTGGGGAGGTGACTGACAGCTGCCGGAGCCCATGGGCCTGTATGGAGAGGGTGGGACTTCCTGGATGCTCAGCGCCTGTCTCCTGCAGCCCACCCCCCACCCTCTGCATCCTTGGAGCTGCCAGCTGCAGTCTCTGGGAAACCGACCACCGATAACCCCCTTGCGGGGAGGGATCCTATGGGAGGGTTCTGAGAGTTCATAGAAGCTCTCCCTAGCCTCCCCCCCAGCTGCTCTGAGGACCTTATTTGGCTTTGCTCAGGTGAAGTGCCCTGGGGAGTGGGGGGGTTTGCACAGAAGCATGCAGATGCTTAAGTGGGAAGGTGATATGGCTTCTTAAAATGAAGGCTCCCTTTTCCCCAGCATACCCTACCCCGAGTAAGTTGGCTGATTTCTTGGTAATTTCCTGGGGCAGTGGGTGAAACACCCCTTGCCTCCCATCTGCCTTCTGACTGGCCTCTCACTGCAGATTGATGACATTGCTGACGGTGCCGTGAAGCCCCCACCCAACAAGTACCCCATCTTCTTCTTTGGCACACACGAAACGTAAGTGTCCCTGGCTAGGGCTGAATTTTCCAATTGGTACCCCCCACCCCCACCCCCACCCCCTCGGTGGCCTAGCTCACCTGGGACTGGCCCCATGGTTCCTTTCTCCAGAGCCTTCCTGGGACCCAAGGACCTCTTTCCCTACGACAAATGTAAAGATAAATACGGAAAACCCAACAAGAGAAAAGGCTTCAATGAGGGACTGTGGGAGATCCAGAACAATCCCCACGCCAGCTACAGTGCTCCGCTGGTGAGTACCTGGGATGGAGGGCCACCCAAGTGGGGTCAGGTGTGCATGTGTGCAGGGGAGTGAGGTGGCCTTGGCTTGTCTCCTGGAAGGAGGTGAAGCTTTTAGGTCTGGACTCCTCCCTGTCAGCACTGCTGACACGGGCCGGGCCAGTCTCTGGGGGGCTGTCCTGAGCACTGTGGGGTGTTTAGCAGCAGCGCTGGCTCCACATACTGCATGCTAGGAGCACCCCACTGGGGCTGTAACGACTGACTGTCCCAGACATGGCCAGGTGTCCCCTGGATTGGGTGGAGGAGTGCAGAGTCACCCTTGTGGGGCCTGAAAATAGAAGTGTCGCCATAGCTTTTACAAAACTTTCTATTTTCATTTTATAAGGAAAACGTTTTTTCTTTCCGTAACAGCCCCTCCCCCAACTACTGCTAGCCTTTAGCCTCAGAAAAAGGCCATACTTAATAGAGGTGGGAGTTTCTGTTTAGGTGGAAAAAATGCCAGCAGCCTTAGAGGTGTTGGGGAACTTGTGTTTGGAAGCATCCAGCAAAACAAAGGAGTTTAGAAAAGTAGGAGTTAAACTCTTAAATTGTCATGGAAGGTTGGCAGAGGGGTGCCTTGTCAAGTACTTTGGGGTGAGATGCTGATGAAGGGAGGCAGGGCAGGGGTTTTTCACTTTGCTTTTAACCACTACTGTGGGGTTCCTGCAAGATCTGAGGTGGTGGGGAGGATTAGCTTTGTCTTGGGAGGGGTTGGGGTGAAATTGGTTTTGCAGTCACAGGAGCTAACTGCAGGGGGCCAGATCGCAGTTCTTAGAGACATCAGCATGGTCTTGAGGCTGCAGAGCAGGGGGCTGAGCAGCCGGCTTGTGTTTGTGAAGGACTAAGTGGGCCTAGAGTGCCTGGCCATGCTTGAGAAATTGGGGTGATGGGCTAGGTGTGCTTTCCTGTGGCTCCGCTCACCTGCTGACCCAGCAGACTTCTGTTTCCACCTGCCACATGTTGTCCCGGGACCAGGGACCCAGGGTGAATCTTGCCTTCTGGAGCTCACCATTCAGAACGTGGGCCCATGAAACAGTTACCTGAGTGGCCAGGCCCACACATGCTCCATATTACTGGCATCTCGCTTTATTTTTATTTATTTTTTTTTTTTAAAGATTTATTTATTTATTTGTGCATACAGAACTGGGGTACAGGCCAGAGGCTCAGGGGCGGTGAGAGGCTTCACCAGAGACAGAGTGGGAGCAGAACAGGCAGATTGACAAAGTACACTGCTGAGGGAAGCAGCGGGCGGGTCAGGAGAGGTCTGGCTCGCCATGTGGTCTCCTCCTGGGCAGGCGGCAGGCGGGAATCGAACTCATGCGGAAGTGGCTTCAGATTCTCAGTGCTGTGCTTTAACCCGCTGCGCCACCAGGGAGGGCCACTCGCTTTATTTTTTTAATTGTGGTGTTGGTTTACAATTCTGTACAGGGTTCAAGAGTCTGGAGTGCCACCTCTTCAGCTCTTCACACCACAGAGCACCCATAGTCTTCTACCACAGACCGCTGGACCCGCACTCTCATTGTTTCCTCTCCCACCCCACAGCCTGTTCTCGTAGTGTTTTAGTTTTATCCCCTGTGATGCAAATGGGGATGGAAGCATTCTCTGCTTTGCTACCTGCTGGCTGCCCCTGGGCTTTGCATGTCCCCAACTTGGTAAGCGGATCAGAAGGTCCTGGAGTTAACTGAGTTTCAAGAGATCATTTTCTGGCCCCTGCTCAAATTCTGTTTGGTTACATCCGAGGCTTATTACCTCCTGGTGAATCATCGTACCATTTAATATTTATTACACACCCACAGCTTGCTAAGTACTGGATAGATGCCTGCCCTCGAGGAAATGAAACTCAAAAGTGGTGCAGCTTTGACATTACACGAGCCCTCTCCAGGCTCCCCAGGTGAAGAGCTAGCTGTGTTAGAGCTCGTTCCTGCCTTTGGGTTAACCCGATGCCTCTGCACCTCCGTGAAACATTGGTTTAAAGTGCAGACTCTGGGCCTGCCCCTAGGGGTTTAGGTTTAGTGTTCAACAGTTTGGAGCTGAGGCCTGGCAGCTCTGAGAATTTCCTTCCCAGGCCTTATCTGAGACACTCCTGTCGTAGCCAGCCCACCGGCAAGCTTGTGGCACCGCTTGGTGGCGATCTCAGCAGCTTAGCTGCTTCTTTTCCATCCTTAAAGTTTGTAGGTAATTGTTATGTTTCAACTGGCACTATAGACTCAGGAGAGGACAGCGAAGAGGTACACAAAACAGTGGTGCTGCCTCTCGGCCACTGTTTTATTTTCATCTCAAGAAAGCCACAGCTACCTTAGCTCCATACTTTCTCTCTCCAAGAGTGTTTGTTCATATAAAATGCTACGTCGCTTTCTTAGGCATCTAATTCCGTGCGTGGTTCCTTGTCAGCCTTTGGCAGCTGGTCCCTGTGAGCATATATGTCAGCCCTTATTCTTTAACAGCCCCCACCTGGCCTCCCCCAAGAGTGAATAGCAAGGTGTGCTTCCCCTTCCCTTTACCAAGACAGGAGGTGAAAACTGGTCTCGGTGTGGTTCCAGCTGCTTCATCTTTAGGTCCCCACGGTGGTCCTGAGAGTGAGCTGGGCAGGTGATATCTTTTCCATTTTACAGATGAACAGACTTTTCCCTTGTACAGATGAAGTCCAGAAACTTCACTTGATTGCCCAGAGTGACTCAACTAGAAATCAAATCTCTTAAGACCTAGACCAGGTTTCTCAACACTCAGTACCAGATCTTTCTGTTTGGGGTGCCATCTTGGACACTGTGGGATGTTAAGCAACAGCTTTAAACCATACCTGCTTGATGCCAGGAGCACTCCTAGCGCCATCTTGGTAACCAGTGTGTATCTAGACATTGCCAGGTGCCACCTAGGGGCCTGTCCAAGATTCAGAAGCTCATAAAAATCACCCAAGGTGGAGAACCACTGACTTAGAAGGAACTTGGTTTAGTATAGTTGTGTGTTGCTTAACAATGGGGAAACAATCATTAAGTGATTGTGTCCTTTTTCTTTTTTAAAGATTTATTTATTTATGCACAAGAACTGGGGTACAGGCTAGAGGTGCGGGGGTGAGAGGATTTACTGAGACAGAGTGGGGAGCAGAACAGGCAGATCAAGTGAAACACACTGCTGAGGGGGGCAGCAGGATGACAGGAGAGGTCTGCCACGCCACGCGGGTCAGCTCCCTGGCCGGGGGTTAAACTCGTGCTGTAGTGGCTGTAGGAAGCTTCATAGTGCTGTGCTTTAACCCATTGGGCCACCAGGGAGGGCCATTGTGCCCATTTTCAAACATCATAGAGTGTAATTAATAAACCTAGGTGGTAGAGTCTGGTGGGACCCCCATCAAACACGTGGCCCCTCACAGATGGAGCGCCGTGAAAGTACGCTTGGTTATACATCTCCATCACTCAGTAGCTGAAGAGGTGAAGGCCTGTCCCAGGTTCAGAAGCTCACAGGGCTGCTGGGAGGACCCAGTGATAAGTGTGCGCTGGGGACAGCACAGTAAGTGACAGAGGCGGCGTTTGGGAACGAGGAGGCCCAGCTGCGTTTGATGTTCCTTTTCTATCTTGTCCGAGTTCCAGGTTCATTGCAGGTAAATGCTTGTTCTGCTTTCAGCCTTCAGCTTCGTGGTCGTCGGAGGTTGGCCAGCTCAGCTTTTATTTCCTGGTCTCTCTCTGCCTTATTTCCTGGTCTCTCTCTGCCCCAGACCTCGTCACATGAATCAGATATTCTAGCCCCTTTGCTGCTAGGCAGTTGAACCCCTTGGGCCAACCATGGGACACCCCAGTTCCTGCCTTTATCTGCAAGGATAATGTAGAGCAAGTCGTTTACCTCCTGGAGACTGCTTGCCCGGGTTTGGAACCTGCACATTCACCCCGTCCCTGAGAGCAGTGGAGGCGTACCTCAAACCACGGCTGAGGGGAGCGTGGTGGGAGCAAAGAAGGGCCAGACCAGCAGTCGCTGTGCCCCGGGCCCACCTGGAAGCCAAGGCTGACGGGCATCCTGCTCTTACTAAGCTGCTGTGTGAGCTGGAGCTGTTAGGCCGCTTTTTCCTCATTGGCACGTGAGGACGACAGCTCCCACCGTCGCAGAGATAGGAGTGGGGCCGCTCTCTGGTGTGTGCACTTAGCGCATGCCTTCCTGCCGGGGCTGCTCCTAGCCCTCCTCCAAGAGGTCCTTGGGCCACGTGTAGTCCCTGACTCTCCAAGCTGCCGCCTTCCCTCTCCTGCATGCCCCCTGGACGGACACGTACTGCCCTGAAGGGGAGGTGGTGACTGCAGTGAACGCACACAGCTCAGTGCAGTTCCCTCCCAGCTTGTCAGGGCTGGAGTCTGACCTATGCGGTGTCTAAGCTGTCCCCGCCGTCCTAGTTTGTCTCGTTGAACTGGCACCACTAGGCCTTCGCGGGACCTCGGACACTGTGACACTACAAGGGCGACGGAGGGCGTTGTCCGTGAGGGCTGTCGGCAGCAGGCCTTGCTGACCCTGCCTGCCTTGGGCATGAAGGCCGGGGAGGCTCCCCGCCTGGAGGGGAAGAAGCGGGGTCTTCGTATAGGAGTGAGCATGAAGGGGGCTCCCTCTGAGCCCCCTTCTGGTGTTACCATCCCACTCCAGCGCTGACACCCACATTTCCATGCTCTTTGCGCGTTTCTACTTTGATGCGCTGCCCAGACCTCCTTCAGCCTCCTGGTGTCGTCCCCCTCCTTCGGGCCCCCTGGAACCAGCTTCAGCCTCTGGCTCTTCTCATTCCTGGTCTCACTTCCAAGAGTCCTGCTGGCCTGGGCTCCCCCACCGACTCTGATGCACGATTGGTCTCCTGGATTTTCTTTCGCCCAGGTACAGGCCCCACTCTGATCTTGCCAAGGAAAGGCAGCCCAGTGTTGGGGTGTTGTTTTTTTTTAAGATTTATTTATTTGTGCATACAGAAATGGGGTACAGGCCAGAGGTGCAGGGGAGATGAGTGGTTTCACCAGAGACAGAGTGGGGAGCACAACAGGCAGAACTGAAGTACACTGCTGAGGGGAGCAGCGGGCGGGTCAGGAGAGGTCTGCCGCGCCCTGTGGGTCACCTCCGGGGCAGGCGGGGATCGAACTCACGCTGAAGTGGCTTTAGCTTCTTAGTGCTGCGCTTTAACCCGCTGTGCCACCAGGGAGGACCCCTGTTTTGTTTTGTTTTTTTTTTAAACTTTCTCTTTTATTCCCCAGGGACAAAGATTTATCATTTTTATTTTGATATATTTTTTAATTGAGCTAACATTGTTGACATTGTTGTTTGTATTTTTAAGTCTAGGATCGCCCTTCCATTGTTACTCCCAGCACCAGTGCACCCAGAGTCCACCAGTGTAGTCTGCTGGGGGCCACGACCCCCTTACTCCCCGCCTCTGCTCCCATGGCCCAATTCTGCAGTCAGTGTTCAGGAGCCTGTTTTTGAGTTTGGTTTATCCGACCATTTGCCTGTTTTCTTTCTTCTTTTTTTTTTTTAAGATTTTATTTATTTATTCATATAGAACTGGGGTACAGGCCAGAGATGCGGAGGGTGAGAGGATTCACCAGAGACAGAGGGGAGCAGAACAATTTGCCTGTTTTCTTTAAAAACACAGACACTTCATGAATTTGCACATGGACTAATCTCTGTTATTCCAATTTAAATATATCTGCTGCAGAAGCGAGCACTAAATACGTTATTTTTAAAAATTGGGATCTATCTGATTTCTCACAACATACTACTCACCAGCATTCCTAACAGATACTAACCATAGACGAAAAATTTATTTCAGAAGATACACTGCAGTGGTTTTGTGTATTCTCAGTGTTATGCCCTATCACTACTGTCAAATTCTAGAATATTCCCATCTCTCCGCAAAGAAGCCCCCTTTATGTCAGCAGTCATCCCCAATTCTCCTGTCCCTCTGGTTCCTGGGAACGTTCTATTTCTATGAATCTGCATCTCCTGGACACAGCATATACATAGGAACTTGTATTTGGTTTTTTGTTCCTGGCAGCTTCTAATCGAGTTCATTTTTGAGTTTCCTCCATGTGTGTCAGCAAACGCATTTTTTTTTTTAAAGATTTACTTACTTTTGCACACAAGAACTGGGGTACAGCTAGAGGTGCGGGGAGTGACAAGATTCACCAGAGTGGGGAGCAGGACAGATGGATCCACTGAAACACACTGCTGAGGGGAGCAGCCGGGAGATAGGACTTCTCCTGCTGCGCCCTGTGGGTCACTCCCTGGCTGGGAATCGAACTCAGGCTGCAGTGGCTGCGGAGAGCATCACAGTGCTGCGCTTTCCCCATTGTGCCACTAGGGAGGGCCCTGCAAACGCCCTTCTTATGGCTGAGTAATATCCCATCCTGGAACTAGGCCACTTTGTGTGTTCATCACTAGACAAAAATTTGGGCTGTTTTTAGAGAATGGTGTTTAAAGTGCTCAGTCTGTTTATTTTTTTTTCCAAAATCCGTTATTTAGAAATAACACGGAGTGAACTATGTACTATGTACTGTGACGTGACGTCGTCTTACATTTGTGCTAGGCTGGGTGCCACTGAGTCCCTCTAACGGGAGCTGTGGGACCCCTCCTCCCCCCGCTTCTCATCTGTGTTGCAGTTGCATTTACTGGCTGCCTCCCCATTAGGGGTGTGAGCTCCCGAGGCAAGGCCTCTGTCTGTCATCCTCACACAGGGCCCGGTAGTAGCGGCTTTTGCACTGTGTTCACTAGAACGGTGAATGGGTTCTTCCATTTTCCTCCCCAAAACAAAATATTCAAAAAAAGTTGAAAAACAGATCTGAGGGGCCCTCTCTTGTGGTGCAGCAAGTTAAAGCGCAGCACTATGAAGCTCTCTGCAGCTGCTGCAGCTCAAGTTCGATCCCCGGCCAGCGAGGTGACCCGCAATGGCAAGGCAAGCCTCTCCTGACCCACCCACTCCCCTCAGCAGTGTATTTCAGTCGATCTGTCTGTTCTGCTTCCCACTCTGTCTCTGGTAAGCCCCCAAACCTCTGGCCTGTACCCCAGTTTTGGTGAATCCTCTCACCCCCCACACTTCTGGCCCATACCCCAGTTCTGTAAGCATAAATAAATACATCTTAAAAAAAAAATACAGATCTGAGCTGGTCCTGTGACCTAATTCCACTCTGACTGCCGAGGTCGACCCTTGCCAACTCCTGCATGATCTGGCCTGACCGCTCCACCTCTCTCCTGCCTTTCTCTTTCTGTGACCTCCTCACTACACCAGCCTCCCTGCATCTTTGTGGGATCGTCAGCCATGCTGCTCCCACGTTCTGGAATCTATCTAGCCCCTACCGCTTTGCATGCTTGTGACAGCTCCTCAACTAAAACTTCTCGCCCTCCAGGGCCCCCCCACGACCATCTGCTGCAGCTACGCATCCACCAACAGGTTTTGCCCGTCACGGTGATATGACATCATGCTATTTATATGCCTACAGTTGTCTCTCTAGATTGTAAGCTGCTTGGGGCCAGGCGCCAAGGCCTGGTATAATACCTAGCTGTGTACTGAGCCACAGATTCGACCCGGTGTATAAGTGTGCCCCACGTGTGGGCAGTCAGAAGAAGCTGTCTCAGCCTCTGCTGTTTAGGTGCCTGCCACTTGCCCGAGCAGGTCTTTTGGGTATAACAGAAATTGCAGTGCATGGAAGCGTAAGGCCAGAGCTCCTGCCCTAGGCCTGCTTCCTCCTCGTGATCATAAGGACAACAGTAGTAATGATAAAAGCAAACGTCGATGGATTCCTTGCTGGCCTGGGCGTAGCCCTGAGTAAGTCTTGTGCTCTGTTCATCCTTGATGAATGGGTTCATCCATTTTCCAGTCCTGCAAGGCCTACACGGTGCCGTCCGTGTAGCTGGCATGTGGAAGTTAATGCACAGAGAGCTTTAGTTTAACCTTGAACCCCAGTGCTCACCGCACGTGCGCATCTGCCTCACCTCTCAGGGCTCTCGGGGCCTGTTTGACCACTCAGATACCAAGGTCAGGCCCTACGTTTGCGTCCCCTTGGTGCGTGCTGGGCCTCCGCCCTGGTTGGTCATGCCACCCAGATGGTGACTCGTGCTCTGCCCCTCCCCTTCATCCCTCAGCCAGTGAGCTCCTCCGACAGTGAGGCCCCTGAAGCCGACCCGGCCGGTGGCAGTGAAGACGATGAGGACCGGGGGGTTATGGCTGTCGCAGCTGTGACTGCGGCAGCCGCCAGCGACAGAATGGAGAGCGACTCGGACTCCGACAAGAGCAGCGACAACAGTGGCCTGAAGCGGAAGGCATCAGCCTTGAAGGTAGGCCCTGGACAGGCCAGCTTGGCCCTGGGTGGCTGGTGGCTAGTGGCCATAGCCCAGCAACGCCTGAGATTGCATCCTAGAGCTTACTCTGAAAGAAACCCCGTTCCCAGAGCGTCCCCACCTTCCCCGTCCCTGCTACCTCGGCTGCGCCAGTCCCGGCCACTTCACGCCAGTGGGCACACGCGCTTGCCCGCACGAGCATCGTGAGCCAGGAGCTCTGTGTGGTGCCCATCGTGCCCCTCCTGGCCGGGTGTTCGCAGAGGGCGGCCACACTGGCTGCTGTTTTGCTGACAGCCGTTTGAATTGTTTGCTTTTTCGGCATCAGAAACAGTGCTGCCGCGAACAGTCACGTACATGTTTTTGCGTGGACGTGCGTTCTCAGTTGTTTTGAAGATTCTTTTGCCCCCTTTTTTCCTCTCTGCCTTTTCACTGCCACTAGCTATTTGAGTGCAGAATGAAAAGACCAGCTTCTAACACCAAGTTCTTTTGATTAAAAAAACTTTTTAAAGAAAGTATCCTCTTGGTTACAATTATAATAGTTTAGACTTACTGTAGATAAAAGATGTAGAGGGTATGGTGAAGGGAGGCTTCCTGAGGAGCGGACGCTTTCGCTGAGGCTCAGAATGGGAAGGGGCAGCCGCACCCAGGCCTGCGGCCAGCTCCTCAGGAAGCAGAGGGGTGCAGAGCTCCTGCAGCTGACAGGTGAGGGCGCCCGGCAGGGCCAGAGGAAGGGTGGAGAAGGTGGCGCAGTACACACACCACAGAACTTGAGCCATTTTTAGGTGGCATTTAGTAAAGCCATGTTATTGGGCAACCGTCCCACCCCCCAACTCCAGAACTTTCTCACTTTCCCAAATGAAGCTGTCTCCATTGAACACCTGCGCCCCTTTTCACCCAGCCCTGGCACCCACCGTCCACTCCTGTCTCTGTGGCTGTGATTCCTCTAGGGTGGCCTGTGGGTAGGTCGCACGGCACACTCACGTGTGGCCCAACCGTGGGCATGTTTTTAGAACTGTGTCACTAGGAGATTCATGTCAAGTGAGTGGCGTGGAGGGTGACGCATTAGCCTGGAGAGTGCGGGCCTCCCGCGTCTTGTACGCAGTGCGTCGTCAATGGGAAATGTCATTTTGTGGTCCGTGGCGCTTGTCCTTTTCTGTCTGGCTTATTTCACTGAACATCATGTCCCCTGAGTTTAACATCCCTGGTATCTACTGGGTTCTTTTGAAGGGGTCCCTGCCAGCCCCTAAGGTTCCAGACCTTCAGCTCTTCCCAGGGCTGGGAGAGGCAGGCGGGAGGGCTTGCTGCCGAGGCGGGAGACGTGGTGCGTGAATGTCGATCTGCTCGAGCTGCTCCCCTTCCAGATGTCAGTCTCAAAGCGAGTTCGAAAGGCCCCCAGTGATCTGGACCCAGCCAGCGTGTCTCCGTCCGAGGAGGAGAATTCAGAAAGTTCATCCGAGTCTGAGAAGACCAGTGACCAGGTGGGCGCCTGCCGGCTCCTCGGGTGGGCGAGGGGCGCTGGGCGGGATGGAGCTGCGGCAGCTACATGTCAGTCCCCACTCTCCCCCCAGGACTTTACCCCAGAGAAGAAAACTGTGGTGCGGGCACCCAGGCGGGGCCCCCTGGCGGGACGGAAGAAAAAGGTAGAGGGTTTCGTTGTGGGCTTGTCTCTGTGCCCACCGGCGCGCCAGAGCTTTTCTGCAGGGCCCCAGCCACTGTCCACAATGCCACGTGGTTCTCCCTGTTCATTTCCTTTTCTTTAACAAAAGCAAAGCGCACCACCTACCTCCAGCCTCTTCCAGCCCTGCTCCCCACCCCCTCTGCTAACCGGGTCTGTTGCGAAGTGCACTGGCTTGTTTTTGCCCATCTGCTCACCTGCTTTGTTTCTCGCCTGTAGATGAAACCATCCAGTGTTTGTCTATTCTTTGGGCTTTGCTTTGCTAATCCCCCCAGAGTTCCTTCCATTTTACTGTGGATGGCAAGCTCGTCCTCTCTCCGCTGGAGAGCGTTCTTCGCGTGCACGCGCTCGTCTTACCTGGTCGTCTGTCGGCAGGCGTCGGTCTCCGGAGGGGGGCGCGTGGGCCCGGGGAGACAGCCGGGATGCCCACCTCTGCGTGCGCGTGCTGTGGCCTCGACCGCTGGGGTCTGAGTCTGTGAGGGTCTCGGCAGCCGGGACGGCCAGGCTGCCGCCCGCGAGGCCGCTGGAGTCCGCGTTGGGGCGGATGCCGGGATGTGCCGTGTGGGAGAGGGGGGATGGGCTCTGCGCTGGCGGGGGGGGGCAGGGGGGGGCCGCGCGCTCCCGCGCCAGCGCTCCGTGTCGGGCAGAGCTACAGGCGCGTGTGTGTTGCAGTGCAAGGCTGGTGCTCGTCTGCTTGTCGCACGCAGGGGAGTGCGCTGCGGTGCTGTGTCTGCGCGTGTCAGTGGTGCAGGGGTGTCCAAGTGCTCGTGGCTTTACGTGTACGCGCACACGTGCGCCGTGGGCAAGGCCCACGGGGAGGAGGCGGCCAGTCTGGTCGGGCCCACACGCGAGGCTTTGTGTGGCAAGGTGTCTTGTTCCTGGAAGGCCCTGGGCTTGCCTTTACACGCACACGCACGGCTGAGGAGTGGGGGAGACCTGGGACAGAGTCCACCGTCACTGTGGCCCTGGTGACGCCACCGGCGGCTGCAGGGACTTGAGCACTGCCAGCGATTCTGGCCAAAGCGGAGTTGCTTATTTGGGGGGATGGTGGATTTTTTTGCGGGGAGGGTTTGGGGAGCGGGGTGCTCAGGGCCTGCCCCTGGTCTCTCCCAGAAGGCACCTTCAGCCTCCGACTCAGACTCCAAAGCAGAATCAGATGGGGCCAAGGGTGAGCCCGTGGCTGTGACCAGGTCAGCATCGTCGTCGTCGTCCTCCTCCTCTTCCTCCTCAGACTCCGACACGGATGTGTCTGTAAAGAAGCCTCTGCGGGGCCGGAAGCCAGGTACGGGCGGCCACACCTCCTGGGGTGGCCCAACGCGGCGTCTGCCCCTCTAACAGGAGTCAGTCTGTGAGCCTCCTCTTTCTCTTTCCCCCAGCTGAGAAGCCACCCCCAAAACCACGTGGGCGGAAGCCGAAGCCCGAGCGACCCCCGAGCACCTCGAGCAGTGACAGGTGGGGTGGCTTTTTGCCAGGTCCTCAACCCGACCCCGGGGCCCCCGGCAGTAGGCGGGCCCACCCCTCAGGGACCTGGTGGCGGAGCTTCCTGTTCCAAGGACCAGCGCCCCTCACTGCCTGCACCCCCAGTGACAGCGATGAGGTGGACCGCATCAGCGAGTGGAAGCGGCGGGACGAGGAGCGGAGGCGGGAGCTGGAGGCCCGGCGGCGCCGAGAGCAGGAGGAGGAGCTGCGGCGGCTGCGGGAGCAGGAGAAGGAAGAGAAAGAGCGGAGGCGGGAGCGGGCCGAGCGTGGTGACGCCCCGCAGGGGGGCAGTGGTGCCAGCAGTGGCGATGAGCTCAGGGACGAGGAGGAGCCGGTCAAGAAGCGAGGCCGGAAGGGCCGGGGCCGGGGCCCTCAGTCCACTTCTGACTCAGAGCCGGAGGCCGAGCTGGAGAGAGAGGTGCGCTCAGCCTAGGCTGGGTTCTCGGGGTCCCTGAGAGCCTCCACGGGGTTGACTGAAGGCTTTGATTGAAAGACTCAGTATCTGTTGGAGTGAGAGGAATCTGTGGAACTAACTGGGAGGGCATTCTGGGTGGGGGGCACGGCACGGGCAAAGGCCCTGGGGCAGGACTGACCCTGCTTTCTGGAGGAACAAGACAAGGAGTAGATCATGTAGCAGGTACAGCAGGTACAGGAGAGCACTTGAGGGCGGGCAGTGCAGGACCTTGCGGACTGTGGGGAGGACTTGGGCACTTTTACCCCAGGGCACCCTGGGGCTGTGCAGAAGGGTGCTTTCTGGCATCGGGGTGCGGGGACAATTTGGAGTTGAGTGTGGGAGTAGCTAGGACTTCCTGAGAAGGGTTAGTGGTGACTTTAGGTACTGTGTGGGGTGGCTGGGCCCACCGGCTCCCCCTCCACCCTCAACATTCTTCCGAATCTGAAAGTCCCATTTCCCAGCCCTGAGACCTTGATGGAACCTGCAGCCGTCAAGGAGAGTGGGGTGAGGCAGCGGGCGAGGGCATGTGCTCTCCCCGCGAAGACGGACCTGGTGCCTGCCACAGAAAGCGTCTGGCTCTGGTCCGGGCTGCCCTGTGTAGTGACAGGCTTGGCCTCTACCTTCCCGCAGGGCCTTTCAGGGCATGAGAAGCTGCTGTCCATGTCAGACCGGACGGAGCTCCTCCCCGTCCCATCGTGTTCATCCCACCAGCTCTCAGCAGCATGAAAGTGGTGGCAGGAAGCACGGAACTGTGTCTGGAAGGGAGAGGACGCAGGGGTCTGGAGAGCCCCGCTCCCTGCCACGTCAGCCCTTCTCTGCTCTGCAGGCGAAGAAGTCAGCCAAGAAGTTGCAGTCACAAAGCACAGAGCCGGTGAGGAGACCCAGCCAGAAGGAGAAGAGAGGCCGTCCGGAGGAGAAGCCCCGAGCCAGGTCAGCACCCTGTGGCCTCCTGCTCTAGGCAGGCCCCGCCCTTCCTCACCCGGCCCGTCTCAGCCTCCCAGGGGTCCCTCAGCCGTCGTGGGAGGGCCTCAGCTTCCAATTTGGTCTTGGAGACAGTTGGGTGAAGGGTCTGGTTCTGGAAGCCCACCCAGGAACTGCTCTTCTAGCCTTGTGCTCACCTGTGCATTTTGGCCCCCAATCAGGGGACACTAGAGGTCTGGGGACATCTGTGGTCATCTCGACTGGGGGTGCTCTCGGCACCCAGTGGGTGGGGCAGGGATGCTGCTTAACACCCCATAGTGCCAAAGTGGCCCCCACCCAGATCTCGCCCCGATGTCCACAGTATGTGGGATTGTCCTTAACCTCCTGTGGTTCTCAGATATTTTAAGTCAGGCCCCTGAGGCGGTGGAGGTGGGGAGAATCAAATCACAGCTTTCTAAGTGAAATTCCAGCTATCACTGATCCGCCTATGGGGGCAGCTTGTCAGAAATATCAGCGAATAAGAGCGACTCGGGTGGCAGCGGTGCTTCACTGGGTCTCAAACTGGAGTGTCTTTTAATAGCCCAGCAGTCACTGACCCCCAGGCTTGTGCTGAAGCAACAACAAACCCAGAATCCCGGGACTGCACATGTGCTTGCTCGCAGGGACCCGAGGGAGGGTGGTGCCCGGTGGCCTGGGTGCCCACCCTCTGCCCGGTCCCGACGGCCTGCCCCCCCACTCGCCGGGCCTCCTAAAGGTTTCCTCCATAGCAGGTGCTGGCTGCCCCACAGACCCTGACTCCTTGCCAGGGGCATGCGTAGCAGGGGATGTCGGTCGGGGCCCATCTAAGGGGTGCGACTCCCACAGGCAGGTAAAGGTGGAGCGTACCCGGAAGCGGTCTGAAGGGTTCCAGCCAGACAGGAAGATGGACAAGAAGAAAGGTGAGGGGGTCGCTGCGAGGGAGGAGGGCAGGTGCAGAGGGCTTGTCCTCGCGGCCAGCCGGTGGTCTGGCGGTGGAGGAGGCCAGGCTGGTCTGCCTGATGGCCTAGGCCTCGTGGCCCTGTTCAGGCCTGCACTGTGCCTTCTCTTCCTGGCCACAGAACCCTCCGTGGAGGAAAAGCTCCAGAAGCTTCACAGTGAAATCAAGTTTGCCCTGAAGGTTGACAATCCGGTGAGCCAAGTCTTCCCTACCCCTCATGTCATGTCTGGATCTTCCTTAGAAGTTTTGGGCAGCCATGCCAAGGGCAGGGTGTGGGCAGGAGGGCAGGTGTTGCCGTGCCCATCCAGGTCTCTTGGCCGAGGGCCCTGGGCTTTCCTGAGGCTCAGTGTTTGCTGCTAAAGCCCCACCTGTGGCTTCATGGAAGGCCCACGAGGCCCCCTCCTGTCTGTCCCGCGTTTTCACCTGTCACTGGTTCCCCAAAAGGAGGGCCTCAGAACTTCCTCTGCCCCGCCAGGACCCCTGGACCAGGTGCTGTCCCTCCTTACTCCCCCCTACCCTGCAGGACGTGAAGAGATGTCTGAATGCACTAGAGGAGCTGGGGACCCTGCAGGTGACCTCGCAGATCCTCCAGAAGAACACAGATGTGGTGGCTACGTTGAAAAAGGTAGTGGAGGGGCGAGGCCTGGGTGGGCAACCTGTGGACGTGGTAGTGCCCCCCTTCATGGAGATGCCACTGTGGCCAGGAGTGGCAGCAATAGGCGAGGGGCCTGGACAGGGCAGGAGGCCAGCGGCATGTCCTGAGGCGGGCTTTTGGGGACCCAGATTCGCCGCTACAAGGCCAACAAGGAGGTGATGGAGAAGGCCGCAGAAGTCTACACCCGACTCAAGTCAAGGGTCCTGGGACCAAAGATCGAGGCTGTCCAGAAGGCAAACAGAACTGGTGTGGAGAAGGACAAGTCTGAGGCGGGGAAAACTGAGGAGACGCTGGCTGGCGAGGAGGCCCCCGCAGAGAAAGCAGGGGATGAGGCCAACGCTGGTGAGGGGCCAGAGGGTGTGGGGCTGGGCAGGCGGTTTGCTGGGCACAGCTGGTACTCCTCCCCCAGTGGCCAGAGAGGCAGGTCCTTGGCACTCTGCACAGGCCTGGCTGTGTCCCAGGGTTGCTGGTGCCTGACCCTTGGCTCGCAGACGGCATCGTCTCCCCGAGCTGGATGGGCTGGGAGGCTGTGTGCACAGGGTGCAAGCGAGTGTGCCCTCCACGGGGAGGGCCAGGCGTGGGACCCTCCTCCATGCGGCAGAGGCCTCAGGCTGCACCCGGAGCCTGTGGGGGGCTGCGGGGGAGAAGAGAAAGGGGTCATCCTAGAGGGACAGTGACCGAGGGATGGGAGAGGACCTACCTTCTTGGGATCACATGGTCCCAGTGACGGGTGCTAGGGAGTCTCCCTATACCCAGTTAAGAATAGGGTTTGGCTGAAGCCTCAACCCCCAAGGAACGACCTGGAGAGGGCAGCCCTTACTGTGCCCCAGGCTGCAGCAGGCTGGCCACCTCCTGTCCCCCATTTCAGGGGCATGGGCACAGCTGCCCCGGGATGTGGTGTGAGCGCAGAGGGAGGCACGCACAGTGCCCAGTTCTGGCCCCCAGGAGGGCCCAGTGTCTCTCAGGATCCTCGGCCCAGTGCTGGCTCGCTCACCAGCTTCATCAGGAAGGGTTACGGGTCCCAGACAACCCCACAGCATCCTATGACTCTCCCTCCCAGATCTCTCAGCCCCTGTGAATGGCGAGGCCACCTCCCAGAAGGGGGAGGAGCCGGAGGACAAGGAGCAGGAGGAAGGGCAGACCTCAGAGGAGGGGCCCCGTGGCGGCTCCTCTGAAGACCTCCTGCACAACGAGTAAGTGTCATCGGGGGCCCTGTGGGCCACTTCCTGGGAAGGATGCTGTTCTCGGGGGCAGGCTTGCCCTGGAAGGGCCCCACAGACTGCAGCCCCCTCCCCTCACTGGGGCCTCCCCACCTTAGCAGCTGATTTCCAGCTGGGTGGCTGCTTTGGGTCCCCCCCGGGGCCTGGCGTGCAGCCACGCCTGTCCAGCGGGAGCGTGGCTCCTGCTTCCTGCGCTGCGTGTGGTCTGGGCAGCAGGCTCGGAGCCAGCCTGCTCACCCTGGGCTGTGCTCTGCCAGCAGTGCAAGGGGGGACGCTGACCTGGATGGGCCGGGGAGCGACCGGCAGGAGCGCGAGAGGGCGCGCATGGACTCGGAGTCCCTGGACGATGAGGACAGCTGAGCCCGGCAAGCAGGCCCTGCCCGCCGCACAGACTTGTAGGCTGCCCGGCTCCTCCCCTCCGCCAGGGGTCAGGGAACTGTTGGAGACGCCTGCTGTCCGTTTGTATTTGTCCCCCTGGGTTTTCTTCTGCCTAATTTCTGTGATTTCCGACCGACATGAAATGACTATAAAGGGTTTTTTTTATGAAAAAAAAAATCACTTTTATTGGCTTGGTTTTCTAGCATTAGTGGTGCAGCCAGGCCAGAGCTGGGAACTGTCTGCAACGGTCAGGGGCTCTTTCTGGACAAAGGGTTTTCAGTCACAGGGTCACCATGAACAGTAAGTGTGCACTTATTTCTAACGGTGCTCCCGGCCCGGCCGGCCCAGCCCTGTAGGCCTGCAGTGCAGGAGGGCGGCGTGGGGGGAGACTTTTCCAAAAGTGAAGAGAAATAAAAACCTCTGAACATTGCAGCTCACACAGAGGCAGTGCTTTGACTCTTCCTATGTTTGGCCCAGCGCCCAGGCAGGAAGACCAGAGGTCCAGAGGGTGGGGTGGCCGAGGGGTGGGCGCTGAGGCAGGGCCGGGGCAGCCGGGACCGTGCCTTCCCCAGAAGCCTCTGCCGTGACTCTTTCCTGCTGCTGTCCGACTCCCAGACAAGACCCTTGGTCCCAGCAACCCAGCTCTGCCCGGCCGGTGCTGCCGGCTGTCCTCGGTCGCTGCTGGAGGTGTGAATGTGAGCAGCCTGCCGTGGCCTAGGGCCAGTGGCGCTCCCACCCTGGGCCTCTGCTCTCCTGCATTGGGCTTGACCTGGCTCGGGCTGTCGCGTGGATTCGGGGGGGACCTGTGAGTCAGGCCTGGCTCGTAGCAACAGTGGCCCTTAGCACGTTAGCCCTGCCTTCTCTGGCCACGCTCCTCCACCCCTCTGAGACGGGGCCTCAGAGACTCCTGACCCCAGCCGCCCTGCTTTGCTGTCGGACACTGCCTGGCTGCGGAGGCTCTGTCACCTGCCGGGGCGTGCCCGACTGTCCCCGCACCGCCGGCAGCTCAGCTCGCCCAGTGTGGAGTCCCTCATGACTCCTGTTCCTGTGGTCTCTCTGGGGACAGCTGGCTTCCATCCTGGAGCTCGGATGTCGGAGCTTGGTGTGGGCACTTCAGCAGCCCCACCCCCGCTGGGAAATGGTGTGGCTCCAGCTTCTGGGACACAGGCGCGCGGCAGGGCTCTGCTTCTGGCATTTTGAGGCGCGGCTAGTGCCCGCTCGAGGTGGGGCTGCCTGCCAGGCCCGGTATGAACATTCTGAGTTTTCACATCTCCGGCGCGCTGCCTCAGGCAACAGGAGGGGGCCGGGCCTTTGTGGCCTCGCTTCTCCACGTGCTGCCCACCTGGCAGGACCGCCCTGAGGAGCCAGAAAGCACACAGGAAGGGAGGAGACCCACGGAGTTGCTTCGAGCACTAACAGGTCCAGAAGCCTGGGGCTCACATCTAGCTATGGCCTGTGGTCAGGCCCTTTCTTGCTTTCATGGGCAGCCCGGGGGCTCCAGCGCTTTTAGGACGTCAAGTCTGGAAGCCTTTGAACCGACCGTGCCAGGTGAAGGCCAGGGTGCAGTGGACAGGGCCAGGAGGGGCGTGTGGGTAGACCTGCCGCCGGCCCATCTTCAGTCCTCAAGCCAGGCCAGCCAGAGCCCAGGCTGTCAGCGGTGCTGCAGCTGCTGGTGACTTTACCTCAGAAACCTTGGCACCCCACAGGCTCGCCCCGAGAGCGTGGGCGCTGACCGCCACAGGTAGCGACTGTTGCCGTAGGTACGTGACACGAATACTTGGGTTTCCCAGGATGTGCGAATGAGTGACACTAGACTGGTCTGGTAAGCGTGTAATAGCATTTTTCTAAAAATAACAGTGCACACACCTTAATTACACGTAGGAATGAGCACGCTGAGAGAAATGTTTCGCACTGGTCAGTTGTTAGCTGCAGCTGACACAAACCCGGCTCGTGATGGCAGTGTCCGCAGAGCGCGGTGAAGCCAGGTGTGCCTTGGGCCTCTGGTGCTCCAGGCCGCGGCACTCGGACTCCGCGGCTGCTGGGGGCCGGCCGTGCGCGGTCGGGGCCAGGGTGGGGGTAGGCCCGCTCGTTCTGCTAGCAGACGCGGGCCGGAACAGCCCCCGAAAGATGAAAGGGCTCCACCTTCCACCTTCCCTGACTGCTTCTCTGGCCGGCTGTTGGCCGAGGCTCAGAAGGAGGCGCCGGTGCCTGAGTGCGGTTGTGCGTGGCGTGACTTCCCTCGGAGTTCTCCATGCCCCGCCTGGAGGTCCGAGCTTTGGGGACTCAGCGGCGTCGGGGCTGGCCGGGGAGACGTTTCCTGGGGGGCAGCCCTACAGCTGCTGCTCCCCAGGGTGCGGCGTGAAGGGCCCCACCAGCCAGCTGAGCGGCGGGCCGTGCTGCAGCCTGCCCAGCGCCTCCTCCAGCCCCTGCCACGCCTGGCCCATGCTCCTGCGGCTCTGGGCCAGGCGCTCCGCCGGCAGCTCGGTGGCAGAGCCGGCGGAGGACACGACGCCGTAGAGCTCGCAGAGGCTGCGCCGGGCCTGCCCCACCTGCTGCTGGAGCTCTGCCGGGAGGCCCTGGAGGCCGCAGGCCAGCGTGCTGTAGGCCACGTGGAGCTGCTGGATGAGGCTGCAGGCCCTGGACAGCGCCCCGGCGCCTGGCACCTGCGGGAGGAAGGAGCGAGGTGAGCAGGGGCCGGAGGTGGGTGGGTGGGGGCAGCCCTGGCGCTCGCGCGGGTACCTCTCGGGGACCAGCTTCCTCCACTCGGCGGCCGGAGCCCTGGTCTGACCACCTCTGCGCCTCTGGGGCCTGCTTGGCCTTTTCAATCTGGAAAGAGAAGCTCAGCAGGCTGATTTTCCCGACAACTTAGGATTTCTTGGCAGGACCCCCCCCTCCCACCCCCCGCCCCCCCAAGCAGCACGAGGCCTGGGGGGTGTGCCCAGCCCTGGCCCTGGAGCCTCTGCCTAGACGCCGGCAGTGGGCACGATGGGCAGGTGACAGGTGGAGAGCCAGCAGCACCACAGAGGCTGGTCACCTCACTGCAGAGGCAGCAACCTAAATGCCCACAAGATCGCCAGGGGGCCAGATGACGGTGTCACCAGGTCAAGTCACTCCTCAGCGCGAAACCCTCCCGTGGCTTCCCCGTGCCCTCTGGATGCAGTCCCCCCGAAGCTGTGCGGTCTCCGACCCCGCCGCTCACGCCCAGACGCGTGCCCAGGCCCCCGCCACGCGCACTGTGCGCTGGCCGCCAGTCTGCGCAACACGCTGCCTGGGGCCTGGAGAGCCTCCTGCTGGCCCTTCCCAGGGTGCCCGGCAGCCTCCGCTCCTGGCTGCCCTCCTGCCAGGCCTGGCCCGCCCCCGGTGCTGTGGCCTGGCCCGCCCCCGGTGCTGTGCCCAGCCCCTCCCTGTCGCAGCCATCACTGTGCTGCCCTTTCGCTGTCGCGTTCTCACGGGGTTTCCCTGTTCCTCGTCTTCCCTCGGGGCAGCTGCCAGCACCTTTGCTCCTTGACTGTTGGGTCCCTGGCACGTAGGAGTCCCCCTCCTCCCACCGTCCAGTCTCCGCGGCCTGCCTTCTAGCTTGTAGAGGGCAGCACGTGACTGCAAAGTGCAGCAGCAGCTCTCACCCCACCCTGGACCCTATCTCGGGGGCCCACCCGGGATCTGCAGCTTGCCCTGTGCAAACCAAGCTCTTGTCACCGCTGACCTGCCAGCGCCCTGCGCTCCTCAGTTAAAGACCACTGCAGCCTCTCGGGGCTTCCTCGCTCACGTCCACGCGTGACCAGCTGCGCCCCGCCAGCTCTGCTCCGGGGCACATCCGGAGCCCGGGAGCCTGTCAGGCTGCAGCGTGCCAGAGGCCTGCCAGGATTCGTATAGAAACTCCAGCTGACTGGCACTTGACCTGCTGACCGTGCTCCCCACGGGCAGGGCCCTCGCCGCCAGTAAAACCCGTGCTGGGTCTGCATTCACTGCTGGGCACTGTGGGTGTTGAGCAGCATCCCTGGCCTCCACCCTCAGTGCCGGGACACCCCAGCCATGCCCCTGGTCTCCTGAGGCGGGTCACCCCTGGGTGAGACCCTCTGGGTTGGGGTCTCACTGGCTCCAGGAGACTGCGTTCTAGCATCATCTGACCCCCTGAGGCCCTGGGACACTGCAGACACTTAGACATTTATTCTGGGGAAGAGGGGGTGACTCCCAAGTGTGGGGGGCCATCCTGGTTTACTGCTTTACCTTTTAGGGATCCATTCTGGTAGCTAGGATGAACTAGGTATCTACCCATTTTTCCCAAATAATTACCTCAGGGTTCCTCGGCACTGTGGGGACTGGGTCGTTCTCCGTGGGGGCCCTCCTGAGCCCCCAGTAGAGCATCCCTGGCCCGTACCCACTTGACAGACAACCACAGTTGCCTGGGTTGGTGCAGTGGTCCCCAAACTGCTGTTCACAGAACCCTGGGGTGCGGATTGGAATTCCGGCATGCCCGCACCCTCCACCCAGGGCTCTTGCACTCCCATATTTAAGACCGCTAACGCAAAAAACTTGGGGTTCCTCAACTGAGGGCCTGTTACCAACCCCACCAGCCACAGAGGGGTGCTGTGGCTTCCCACTGGGCAGCCTGGCCACTTCTCAAAGTCCCCAGCAGTGAGCATCAGCTGCCACGGCAGAGGCGGCGGGGGGGTCCGTGGCCGACCTGTCTGTCAGGGTGGCAGCCGCCGAACAGCAAGGACACCTTCGGGAACGTGCACCCTGGGAGGCGACGCCTTTGTATGAAGGGCACAGTGGCCAGCGGGCAGAGCCCACTGGCGCCGGCACCGAACCGCGGGGCCACTTTGTGTCAGCCAGTCTGGGGCTCCATGACTCCATGAGGCAAAATATCCCGAAAGCCGGTCCTCGGATGGTGAGCCACGGCTTGTCAGACGCGGCTGGGGTTTTGTTTCTCCACCATATAGCTACGTGACGTTGAAAAAATGATGTTTTCTGGAGATCTGCTGTTACCTCAGCACAAATAGAGCCTAACTATTCACGTGGGGCAGACTTGTATTCTTAAAAGTCCAAATGGATCTTTTAGTTTAAATGAAAGTCATGGGCCCTCCCTGGTGGCACAACAGGTCAAAGTGCAGCAGGATGAAGCTCTCCACAGCCCTGCGCTGGAGTTCGATTCCCAGCCAGGGAGTGACCCCAGGGCGCAGCAGACACCTCTCCTGACCCACCCGCTGCTCCCCTCTGCAGTGTGTTTAAGCCAATCCACCTGTTCTGCTCCCCACTCTGTGAACCCTCTCACCCCCGCACCTCTGGCCTGTACCCCAGTTCTTGTGTGCATAAATAAATGTTTAAGTCACCTGTTGACACCCCTGTTAGGTGATTTCGTCACCTGAGAACAGTGCTTGTGACCTCGCAAACCTTGATGGCACCGCCCGTGGGACCCTGGTCGCAGCGCAGTGTGGGCCAAACCGTCACTCAGACGCTTGACTGCTCGTCTCATCACTTCCCCCAGTCATGCCTTGGGGAAGAGAAGGCCCTTACCTGCTGGAAGGAGTCTTCAAGCTGGGCTAGCGTGGCCCTGGCCTGGAACTGTCCGTGCTGCAGGTGACTCAGGGCGTGCTCAAAAGCCCGCTGACGGAAGCTGGGCGCCAGGTCACCCAGTCGCACGAAGTAGCTGCCCTGGTCGGCTGAGAACACCCTGGGTCCAGGCTCGGAGGCCGCCAGCCGGGCTGGAAAGGAAGACATCACGCAATCTGGGCATAAACCCCTCCCCTGCAGCCCCCCCGCCTCCCAGGTAACCAGGTCTTGGGGTTCACAGTGCCCAGTCCCCTCTGCTCTCACCTTGCTCCTGGACCGTCATGGGGTGGAAGATTTCCCCCACTTCTTCCAACTCACCCCGGAGGGTAGCAGAGCTCACGGCTCCCGCGTGGCCGCCAGTGGTGGCCATATGCCCCACCTCGTCTCTGCCCAGCAAGGCTCCTTGCGGGGATGCCCCCACAGGAGGGGCCAGGCCCTTACCGCCCTCCATTGCTTCCCCAGCAGGGTCCAGGCCTGCGCATGGTATGTCTGAGGGATCAGAGACCCCAGAGGAAGGGGCACTGCAAGGGAGCAGCTGGGTCTGATGCCCTCCCCCCACTGGGGCCCTGTAACTGGCATGGGCACCCGGCACCGAGTCCTGGGAGGTTGGCAGCCAATTCTGGGTGGTATCCAGGCCAGTTTGGGCAGCCCTTTCGGCCATGTTCCCTGCCCCGGGGAACCCTGTGGCCATAGCATCTTTGGTGCCTGTCAGGACAGTCTTGGTGGTGTCCAGGGCGCCCTCCACGGCCCCCTTGGCCGCATTCACGGTGCTCGTCAGCCCACTGCAGACAGTGTCCTTGGTGCCTGTCGCAATCTCCTGGGTGGTGTCCAGTCCTGTCTGCATGGCGCCTTTGGCCATGCCCACAGCACTGGAGAGCCCAGTGGACACTGTGCCTTTGGTGTTGGTCAGGATGGTCTTGGTGGTGTCCATGCCAGCCTGGACACTGCCCTTGGCCATGTTCATTGCCCCAGTGAGCCCAGTGGACACAACATCTTTAGTGCCTATAACAACAGCCTTTGAGGTGTCCAGGCCCCCCTGGACGGCCCCTTTGGCCACGTTCA